TACAAACACCGGTGCATTACTTGTTAATAGTAAAATTGTTCTCCTTTTTTTTTTTTTTGAACAGCAAAAAGTGACATTTATTAAAAAGTGGAATACAATGGATACTTCAAACCCATAAACATTCCAACTTGAAAGACATAAATTAATGAGAGCCGAACAGTCCTTGCTAATTTTGGATGCTTACTGTTTGGTGTCGACACTAAACTTATGTGTCGACACCACACCCTTGTCGGGTTTTTGTCCTCTTTTGCAATTTCTTCAATGGTAGAATAGCACATCTAGTCCTTCAAAAACACACCACAGGGTTTTGCATCCAATCCCAGCCGGAAACCATACCAGCAACCCTTCCTCGAATCCAAAAAAATGCCAAGACTTTGGACATATTCCTTCTTAAAACATACATAAACACACAAATTCAGAAATTTGCTAACCATTCCTCATGCTCGATCTAGGATCTTGCAACCAGTATGAGAGGGAAAATTTGTGTCCTCTTTTTCTCTCCTTGAGCCATATGAATGATCTGGCTTGAATCAATTGAAATAGTTGGTCTGTATCCACTGTCTCATTGTTGAAGATTTTTCCATTACGAGCTAACCAAATTGTCCATATGACTGCAAACCAAATCACCTCCCATCCCTCCCTTGACCTTTTATCTTTGAACCAGCCTTTATGTTGAACAAAAGCCTCTGAACAGGATTCAGCAAGAACACCTTCCACACCCCACCAACGACAGCATCTTCCCCACAATATATTAGCTATATGGTAGTGTAGAAATAGGTGCCTTGTTGATTCATCACCCTCCTCACACATTTTACACATAATCATACTAACATCTCTCAATACTCCCTTCCTCCATAAATTAACTTCAGATGGAATTCTATCTTGTGTGACTAGCCAACTGAATGCACTGACCTTTGTGGGTATGTGGGGGTTCCAAATCTTGTTGAAAATTACCCCCCTTGTGGATGAGAAGGATCTTGATAGTGTCTGGTAACCTGAACTTGCACTGTAGATGCCATTTTGATCATGTTTCCAGTGCCATACGTCCCTTCTTCCCTTGGTAAGTGATTTGGTGTTCAACCTACTAATCATATTCTGTAATTGGATGCTTCCTCTTCCCGGAGAGCACGCCTCCACTTCAAATCCCAAGTCCACTCTCCATTCTTCCATTTGCCCATTTGACTTATTACATTTTCTTTACCTGAAGATAATAAAAATAATCTAGGGAACAAGTTGGCCAACTCACCAATCCCCACCCAATTCTCCTTCCAGAACAACATCTCCTTACCTTCCCCCACATCCAACTCAAAACCTTTCTCTAGCCATCCTACGTTACTCCCCCCTACCTCATTTAACCTACATACATCTCTCCACCATAGAGATCCTAACTCACTGTTCTCTTTCATCCACCTCGTCCAATTTACGCCCTCTTTCCCATACTTAGCCTTTAAAACCTTGTGCCACAAACCACCCTCCCCCTTAGCTAACCTTCCCCACCATTTCCCCATTAAGGCTAAATTAAAAGTTCTAAGATTTTTCACTCCAAGACCCCCTTCCTCTTTGCTTTTGCACACATTTTCCCACCCTACCCAATTAATCACTCTTTTCTCATCATTCCCTCCCCATAAAAAAGCTCTCCTAATGGAGTCTAATTTTTTAATCACCCCTTTTGGAATGAGAAACATACTCATCAAAAATACTGGTAAGCTTGACAACACAACATTTATCAGAGTAATTCGGCCTCCCATAGATACGAATCTCCCCTTCCATTGTGACAACTTCTTCTTGAAATTTTCCACCAGCGGTTGCCAGATTTTCGATCTTCTTGGGTTGTCCCCAATAGGGACCCCTAAATACTTGAAAGGCAAAACTCCCAGCTTACAATTTAAAATTGCAGCAGCTCTTGATAGCCATTCTTCATCCACATGCACTCCCATCAACTGGCTTTTCACATAGTTGATCTTAAGTCCAGAAACAAGCTCAAAAATTCTTGTGATACACTTCACAGCCCATATATTTTCTTCTGTAGCATATCCGAATAAAATCGTGTCATCTGCAAATTGCAAGTGGGAAATGTTCAACTGATTAGAACCTACTGATACACCAGCAAACAACTTTTGTGAAATGGTTGACGCAATTATTCCGTTCAAGCCTTTAGCAATTATCAAGAATAAGAACGATGACAGCGGATCACCTTGCCTCAACCCTTGATTGACTGAGAACTGATCTGTAGGACTGCCATTAACCAAAATTGAAACTCTGCTGGTGCTTAGACATTCTTGAATCCAACCTCGCCACTTGGAATCAAATCCCATACGTTCTAGCATGTAATCCAGGAATTTCCAACTGACTTTGTCAAAAGCCTTCTCAAAATCAATCTTGAATACAAAGCTACTCTTTCTTTTCCTGCGTACTTCATCTATAACCTCATTTGCAACCACTACACCATCCATGAGCTGTCTACCTTTCACAAAAGCTGTTTGTTGTTCCCCAATGATTTCCTGCATAACTCGACTCAATCTGTTTGCGAGTATCTTAGTTAGGATTTTATACATAGCACCAATCAGGGAAATGGGTCTAAAATCCTCCAACTCTAATGGATTTTCCTTCTTAGGGATGAGTACAATGAAAGATTCATTCAATCCTCTGACTAATTTGCCATTCTCATGAAATTCTTGTATGAAGCCCATGATATCTTCCTTCAACACCTCCCACATTTCTCTTATGAATCGAAAATTAAATCCATCTGGGCCTGGTGCCTTTGTAACTCCGCAATCCCAAGCTGCCTTCTTAACTTCTTCTTCGGTAAAATTGTCAACTAACATGGCAGCAGAATCTGGGGAGAGCCTGTTAAAATCTATGCCGTCCAATGTTGGTCTTCTCCACTCCTCATCCTTAAAATAACTTGTGTAGTGCTCTACAATCTTCTGTCTTAACGTCTGTACATCATCCACCAATTGTCCATCCATATGCAAACAACATATCTCCTTCTTCCTAATTCTGCTTTTGACACATCTATGGAAATAACAGGTATTGGCATCTCCATTCTTGATCCACATTTTCCTAGATTTCTGTTTCAACATGCCTTCTTTTGTTTTTAAACATTTCCATAAATCTACAAAGTTCCTCTGTCTCTTTACACATTCTTCAATTGACAAGTTATTCTGTTCTCCCTTAGCATCCAAGCTAGCAATGGCTGCTTTATATTCTGTAATGTTCCTATCTACTTCTTCCTTGAAATTCATACTCCAAGCTTTAAGAAACCTCTTGACAGCTTTGAATTTTTCCTTCAAACAGTATCCCTTCCATCCAGATACCTTAGTTGAGTTCCATACCTTTTTGATTTCATCCCTCAAACCTAGTGTGTCCAGCCATGCATCAAACCATTTGAACGGCCTTGGTCCCCAATCCACTGAGATGTTCTTCAGAATGATAGGACAATGATCTGATATGGAGCGCCCTAGTCCCCACTGTTTGCAATCATTCCAATTCAACAGCCAATCCTCTGATAATAAGAATCGATCAATCCTGTTCATGGATGCCCCATTTACTTGATACCAAGTATATCTTCTACCACACAAAGGCAAATCAACAAGATTCGAGTCTCTGATAAAATCCTCAAATTCTCTCATTTCTGTTGTGGATCCTTTGCCCTCTGCTCTTTCTTGTCTACTCTTGACTGCATTAAAAGCACCTACTAAACACCAATTGCCTTTAGTGCCTAACACTAGCAATTTTAACTCCTGCCATAGAGCCCTTTTGCTAGTAATGTTGCAAGGAGAATACACATTTATAATGTGAACAGGCACAGCGTCTTTTCCCCAGAACCCATAAACACCTATATAGTTTTCCCCTTCATACACTCTATCTTTTTTGAAGACTCCCAAGTTCCATACACAAATTAAGCCTCCTGAAAGACCATTTGATGGTTTGAACACCCATTCAAATTCATCATGACTCCATAGAGCCTGGCACAATCTTCTATCCACTGTTACTAATTTGGATTCCTGTATTGCAAGAAAATCTATTTTCTCCTTCATCACTAATTCTTTTAGTTCCCTCCTTTTTTCCCTTTTCCCCAACCCTCTAACATTATATGAAAGAATAATCATTGGGCGAGTTCACTGACCTGCTTTCCATTGCCTTTGCTAATTGCTTTTGTTCCCACTTTAGCTGCTCTGTCTCTTTTCTCCATGCGTTTAATCTGTTGGCATATGTCCGATTCCTCACTTTGACCAAGTACTCCGATCCGCTTAGCAAATTCCCAAATTTCCTCAGCTCTATATTTTTTCCACCCTTTGCGAATCTCCTTATTTCGATTTATAATGTCACTGTCACCCACAGATTCACCGGCCACCACTTTCTTCGGATTGGGCAAGAAAGTTGGTAGATTTTCTTTCAATTGTTGTGTACCTTTACATTTTTCACCCCTGTTCCTCTTTTGGAGTATTGCTGAGGTTGCTTTGTAGACTGCGATGCAAGATTTGGCTCTCTTCTTTGTGCGATTCTTTGATTTCTTCCTTCTCACCTGTCTTTCTCTCCAGTTTACAGCTCTTTCTGACTCACTGGCCATCCCCTCCCAAAAAGAATTATTACCTTCTACCTCTAAACCTTCTGATATGGTTGGTTTTCGATTTGGTCCCTCCATATCGTCTGAAGCTTTTTGAGATGTGAACTGATTACATCTTACTGGAAAGGCATTTTTGGCATTTTGGTTATCATCACCCGTGTTTGCTGGAACCTTCTCCATCTCTTTTCCTTGAGTTGGCCCATTAACAGATTCTGTGGTCTCCTCATTGTTGGGCCTAAGAGTTTCACCCACCAGCCGATGTCTAGCATCCATGTTCTGTTCACCAATATTTTGAAGTGGAGCAGCTATCTTCGAATTATGATGCGCTGCCAAGCTGTCCTCCACCTTTTCAGTAGATTCATTAATATTTTCTTAGATATCCCCCTACTCAATCGATTGAGATTTTCCCAACATATCCTTTTTGTTTGTCTCTTCAATTTCAAATCCCTGTGATTGGGATTTTAGATTTTGAATCGCCATCCAATCTTCAAGTGCCACGTCTTCTTCTTCCTCCCTAGGCACCCTAATCTCCATGTCACTGAATAACTTTTCAACTTCCGTATCTACTCCCTTTGATGCTTCATCTTCCACGCTATCATTCTCCCAAGTTTCCTTGGATTCAATTTCGGAATCACTTGGAAAATCTGGAATGAAATCTGATTTGATAGAAAATAAACTATTGGAGAATTCTTCTTCCGCCACTCTGATGTTGTACACTGTTCCGTTGATCTTGACTTTGAGCTTCTTTGAAATGGAATCCATGACTGGTGTGCATATAAGGAATCTTGCAATGTCAAAACGTTTCTTCTTGCTTGTGCTTTCATCCAAAGTAATGAATTTTCCCCAGATACAACTAAGAGTGGAGAAAAATGTAGGCCCCCAAGAATGTAGTGGAACACCTGTGCATTTAATCCATACGAAACGTTCATTTGCCACCATGCAAGGACTCCAAGGTTTGATCTCCTTGAACCATTGGCCTAACCAATCTGAAGCATTCTCCACTAAGTCCTTCAATTCATCTTTATCTTCACTCTCCAGGAGAACTAGCTTACCTCCCATTGCCTTCAGCTTACATGCAAAATACCCCTCCATGTAAAATCTCTCCTGTATGCATGGAACAATTTCTACAGAGTGTGCTTGGCCCACGTAACACCCTTGTAACCAGCTATAGTCCTCCTCTTTCACATTGAACTCAAAACCTGTCCATTCCTGGTCGTTATTTTTCTTCTGCCATTTTCTTCTATTAGGCTTTTCTGAGTGCTTCGTCCTTGAGTTTCCTCTATGCTCTGCCATGGGTTTGGTGTTTCTGCTACCTCTTAGGACATCTGCATAAGATCGGTGTGGTACAACCATTCTACTGCCCCATCTTCTTCCCGACTCTCCTTGAATCTGATTGTTTACCGGGCGACTATCAGGATGGTTTTGCATCCCAATTTTTGGTTTGCTTTCCTTCTTACCATTCCGGTCTTCCTCTTTGAATCTGGGGATGTTTGCCCTGAGTTTTGTGTGACCAATCCAGATTTGATCTAATTGGCGTTCCAACTCTTTCTTATCCTTCACCTCCAGAAACCGGACAAAACCAAATCTTCTCCCAAATCTATCCCTCCTTTCTGGGCTGTAAATGGAGTAGATTCTCCCATATTTTGAGAAGAGTCTCCACAAATCTTCATAGTTCCACTCCTCAGGAAAGTTTGTGAAGAAAAAAGCTGTAGCTTGGTTATAAATCTTCCAATCGTATCCTCCAAAACTTTGTCTGCATCCCTCTTGTCTAATATTACCATCTCCTCTGCGCCTTTGCACCTGATCAATTTGCCTACCAAACACTGATCTCTGTGAAGTTAGCCTTACCAGTGATTCTCCATGTCCCCTGCTTGCTCTCGTTCTCTCTCTTCCTCTCTCTCTCATCTTCACCTTCATCCTAGCAGCGTTTTCACAGTGTAAAATTGTTCTCCTTATTCTCTGGAGTTCTTTCAAAAAATACAAAGAGAAATACAAATCTTCAGCTTTTGAAGCAGGGGGCTATAAATGGTCAGTTATTTATTTTTATTTTTATTATTGGTCCTCTTTGGTAGTATTATTTGAATAATTTAGTTAGCTTTATTAATTATATATTATTCTTGTTTGTTGACGTATATATAAATGTTTTTGTTTAATTTTTTTAAGAAAGGAAGCTGGTTCTCTACCCAAACGATGACGAAGCAAGAAATGGAGAAGGACATATCTCTCTCTATCTAATGATTACTAAAACTGAAACTTTACCTCGTGGATGGACTGTAAATGCTAAATTCCAACTTTTTGTGTATGATCATATCCAAGACAAGTATTTTACCTTTAAAGGTATTAATTGTTATTCATTTCTTGTTTATTAATCAAATAAATTTGTGACTCACACGGTCAAGTAGCATTAGCTCCTCTTGTAAAGATTCACTTTCTCCCTCATCCGGGTAACGGTTTCATCCGGCCCATGACAATTGTTCAAAAAAAATAAATCAAATAAATTTGTGTTTTTTTTTTTTTTTCTTGCCATTTGCATATATAACCCTTGCTATATATAACTATATGTTTCATCTATGTGATGAAGATTCAAAGGCAAATGTCAGGTGCTTTAATGCAATGAAAAAGGAATTAGGATTTTCAAGGTTACTCTCTCATGAAGATTTCAAGAACCCTTTTAAAGGGTTTCTTGCGGGAGACTCATGTTGTTTTGGAGTTGAAGTGTTTGTTCAAAACCATACTGAAAATCGAGAGTAGTGTTTGTCTACTTCTGAGGTTGAAGACAAAGTATTCTCCTGGAAAATTGAAAACTTTTCTAAGCAAGAAAAGAGAATGATTGAATCTGA